AAAATAACAATTAAGTAATAAAAATAAGAAATATAAGTGACTTTCAAGGGGTTTTAAAAATATACTAATTTTATAATCATTTTAATACATTTTTTGCATGGTGTAGTAAGTTCTATAAATTTTATTTTTCTTTATTTTCTTTTGTATATTTTAGTTTTTGTTTTTGTGTATTTTTCCTTTACTCCTTTGCAGGACATTTTCACAATGAAAGTGTCACAAGTTGGATGGGCGTGTAACCCAGGGGCAGTTTTTGGGTTGGCCGGTTCAAAGTGCACTTTATTCAATTAAAAAGTATCGAGGGAACAGAGGCAGGGTAGGGGCAGAGCTACACAGAGGAGGTCAGCCCGTTCGACATGTAAAATGTTGTAAATGTTTGCCGAAGGCAAATTGTCCAACCAATTATGATTGCCAAGAGAGGGAGGGAGAGGCAAAGTGGACGTGGACTGGGCCAGGATAAGCATGATGATGACGATGATGGTCGGCGGTTTGAGGTTGAGCTGAAAATGTTGAAGGTTTTGCGGATTGTGGGTCGATTGGGCCAAATGTTGAGCCACTGAACTGACACAGTTTTTTTTTGTACCAACTTAAAGAGGACGAACAGAAATGAAAGCTTTTTTAATGGAAAAAACGGGTAAAGTAAACAGGTAATGAGGCAAATAGATGGTTTAATATATGGTTTTAAAACAAGGATAAGAAAGGATATTATAGGTATAGGTTGTATGCAGGAAATGAAAGAATAATAAGGAGTTTATTGAGTTAGAAATTCCCAAAAAAGTCTTATAGCTTGATTTTTATTATTTAGAACTCATCCATGAGTTATAATATATGATTTTATAGGTTGTTTTAAATGGCTTACATATTTATGAATTATGAAAAAGCATTTTAGTGACTCTTCTTACGGTTGTAATCCTAATTTTAAGCTTAAAAAATTCTTAAAATCTTGGTTTAATTATTATAACTTATAAAATAAATTGTTATTGACTTTTCTAAAGGTAGTAATCCTAATTTTATATGACTTTCTATAGCTTACTTGTATAAAATCAATTAAAAATATTATTTTAAAACAAGTTTAGTTGATTTTTATTAAACGTTAAATCTTAAATCCTAATATTTTATACACTGATACCATCTAAACCGGCTGAATTTACACAAATCACCGCCAAACCTTGCTTTTGATTTATTTTCCTCGCTTACATCACAAGCTTACCATAATTTTCACACCATACAAACGTCATATTTTGCCTTTTCTCATGACTCACAACAGACGCAAATGGAGGACTGAACAAATCATGTGAACTATTATGGCAATTTGCAGTTATTAATCAAAGGCGCGTCAGGCAATATGCACACAGCATGTCACACCACCGCCGGCCGCCTTCTCCCTGCATTTCACATTAATCAAGTATGCAAGCGGCAAAGGGGAAACTATGGAATCAGATAGTACCGGAGATTTACGACCTACTTCCATATGCATGACGGCTGCAAAACGCTGCCAAAGTGACTGACTAACTAACCAGAAACTGCAGCCCGAAATTTTGCGCTAAAAGGAGTCTCGCTGTAGCTCTGTAGTCTACATATGCAAATGTCTGCCTTCGACTCGGAAAGGAAGGATACACTTTGGCAGCTGCTCCTTTGGCTGGCTTGCAATTTGCATTACTCATTTGACACTTTGTCTATCAGGTGCAATCGCAGACAGTGCCCAACACCTGGGAGTCCCGAAAACATACAGCACAGAGCACAGAAATACAAAATATAAACAAAAAAAGAATCTTTCAGATGAAAATGAAGACGAAGACGAACGCTTCTTTGGGAGCAAAAGACGTTGATGAACGACAGCCTCAAAGGCAGTGGCACAGAATGTAATCCTGGAGTGGCAAGGCAACATGCAGACATGCAACTAATGCACTGGGAAAATTGAGGAAAATTAAAGGCAATATCTGTAAATTAATAGGAGTAAAAAGAATTTTCTTTTTTCATATTATAAAGTAAAAGTAAATGGCATTAAAGCTGTGATGAAATCAGTCATCAGTTTCTACTGATACCGGTTAATAGTCTCTTTTATTTTTATATAATTTTATATAATTATTCTCAGGCTTTTCTCTCAGTGCAGCGGGTGAAATTGTGGCTGCAAATCGTAGAGGAAGTTATACATATGCTTGATATAAATCTTGAGAGCAACTTTGCCTGTCATGCATAACATGAAACCACTAATTGATGTGAAGGCAGCAGCCTCAGAGACTTGAGACTGACTACTCAACACCCAAGACTCAAAAAACTAAAGACGAACTGAAGCCAAAAACTGTAGGTTAGCTGAGGAAAGAAGACTTCTGCAAGTCTGCGTTGCATGACTAAACTTTTGGGCTGCTTTTTCATTATTAATCAACTGCGGAAATTTCACAGTTGCAGCGGCAGTTGCAGTAGCAGTTGCCGTTTCAGTATCAGTTACTCAGTGTCATGCCAATACTAATTAAGGTTAAGTAATTTAATTTTTGTGCACTTAAAAAGAGCTTTAAATGAGCCAGGGGAATTGTGATAGGAACGGGAAATATATTGAGAACTAATTCCTTGAAAAAGATTAAAGGGATATAAATGTTAAGGAATGGTTCTAGATATTTTAATGATTATTAATTAAAAAGATAAAGAGACATAAATATAAAGAAATGGTTTTAAATTATTTAAATAATATTAATTAAAAAGATAAAGAGGTATAAATATAAAGAAATGGTTTAAAATAATTTAATTCTTTCGTTTTAAGTACTTTTAACCTTTTTTATTCACTATATATTCCTTAAATGTGATTAATAACTATAATATATTTATCATTCTTTACTTTCAGGTAAGTTTCCTTTACTTTTGACGCATCCCAAAGCCTACTCCCATGATCTTCTCAAAAAATACACCCCACTTCATCTGGTAAGCCTTTTTAAAAATCATTGTCAAGGACAAAAATTCCATAACCCATAGCCATATAGAACAAACCCATTAGGCTGGCCCCATTTATAACTCTCCAGAAACGAGAACGATGAAGAACATTTGCCAACAGACAAAAAATACAAAACTTTCATTATGACATTTTATTGTCCGTCGTCTCGTCGGCCATTTGTGCCGCTCATTGTGGCTGATTCTCGTGGTGGTGTTGTTGCCAGGAGACAATGACGACAATGATGCCGACGAGGATGATGATGGGCAGGCGGCGAAACCCTCAGCATCATCCTTAGCAGTGTCAAGCTGAACTAGGAGGTTGGGGGAGTTTTTGGCCAGGACATCAACAACAAGCTAATGGTATAACTGCTGTCAGTTGTTGTTGTTCCTTTAGGCCAACTTCAACAACAGAGAGGTTTTTTTCAGTGGTTACACTAAGGGAAAATTAGAGAGATCAACTTAAAAACTCTTATAAATAAGGGATCATTTTAGACAAGGTTTTAAATATATTAAAAAGCTGTTTAAAAAGCTCTAGATTTGAGTTTATGCCTTTAGAAAACTAATATTATTATTAAAATTTATTTTAGAATTTCTTTAAAATTTCTTTAATATTTTTTCTCAGTGCTTTCCCTACACCTACACTCTATTTTCTATTCTCATCTCTCTCAATGGCTTCTATTCGCTTGTCCTGTGTTTGCTTTGGTTTTTCTGCTTCTCAGCTCTGTTGATGTCCTGACAATGGCGTTGATAATTATTATTAGTTTTATTATGTAACTTTAACGCTAGTTCGGGGACTCGACTCTCGTCTAACGCGACCTTTGAGAGCGAAATGGTGGAGAAAACTTCAGGAGAAGAGAAAAGCCAACGAGCGTCAGGACTCACTTTTCTATTTGCTTAAAGTGTAATACGAGGATTTTGTGTAAAAGTTTGCCTTTTGTCAACTGAGATGATGGACAAATGCTTTTGTTTGCTAATTAGAGAAATTTTGCAAATAAAACATAGAAGAGGATCTCATAAAAAACACTAAAAAACAAGGGGATTTTCAGACAAATAAAAGTTATTTCAATTGCACTTGATGGAAATTAAGATTATTGTTATATAAAAAGTGATTTCCTTACTTATTTTCCAAAGAAATATTCAACAGAATTTACTTAATTAATTAAAATAAATTAATAATAAAATAAGATATATCTTTATTTTGCACAAATTAATTGGCACCTTATTAAAAACTTTCTTTCAATACAAAAAAAACTTCCCTTATATCTTTCACAGCTTATTGTTGATTATTCTTTGCTTCGTAATGAATATTTTTTTTATTTTATTTTCATAAAAACTTTTATTCTTTTCGTAGTTAAAAAACAAATTCAAATGATTCCACAAAACAAATCTTTTGCAGAGCCAAAAGAAGTTGTGCAGGAAGTTTTCCTGCTTGTTTAAAGAAAATAAGGAAAACTTCTCAAGACTATGTACATATATTTTCCCTGACTTTTCCCAACCAGTCTCAATTTCTCCCTTTATGCCTTTAGCTTAATTAAATAAAATGCAATTTAAAACCGTTCATTGTGCAATCGCTGCCTTTTCTTGTTTGAACAAAGACTCCTGGCTGTCCCCCCCTTAACAACCTGAAAAACAACACCCATGTGTGCGTGTATGTGGTGTGTGTGTGGGGTAAGAAGAAGAAGCAACATCAGTGTAGGCAGCTCTAAGGATGCAATGTAAAATGGGAGTAGAAAAAGGGAAGAAAAAGGCAGCAAATAAGGGTGGGAAGTGGTTTTTCCTTAGCCTTAACCTTAAGGAAAAAATGAAGAATATCTTAGGAAATTTAGATTTTAAGGAGGTTTAACTATTACAATTTTTAAATACATTTTTTTTTATTTTTAAAATATTTTATATTATTTTTGTTAGATTTAACATATAGATTTCTTTCAAAGTTGTATAAAAATTGTATTATAAATTATTTTCAACATGTTTTGCGGCTGAAAAATAATAGAATAATTAATTTATCACAAATTTTTATTAATTTTCTCTATTTAAAATTTTTAAAAATTCATAAATATTTAAAAATTCCTTATTTATATTAACTTTTCAAGGGTTAAAACTCTGCTGTTAGCCTGGCCTCTTGGCTCTAAGGCAAGAGCTCTCGCTCACACATGAGCTGATTACAACGACGTTTGGGCGATGTTGATGATGATGTAGGCAGTGTGCCACGCCTCTTGCGACTGGCCTTCGCTTGCCGCCCACTTTTTTCCCTGTCTGCGTCTTAAGCAACTTGCGCGGTCGTTTAACTTTGTGCGGCAGCGATTAAATTTCCAAGTTCTTGGACCTCGTTTTTCCTCAGCCTTTTTCTTCCCTGCCCTCCAGAGCTCCACTCCATTTGAGTAATTCTCCCCTCGGCTGCTTCTTATCATGTGTTTACTATACTGCGAAAAGGTATAAGTGGGCATACTTGTAGAAGGAGAAGAATGCAGCCGGAGAATTGGAGGCGAAGAGGAATTGCACTAAGCGCATTAATTGAATTGTAATTGCCGACGTTGTAGTACTTGGTATATTTATTTTTTTATTTTTTATTTTTACTTATTCACTCCAATCTCCAACTAAGGCTCCTTCCATTGTTGCTGTGTCACCGATTTGGGAGTTTGGAATTGGTAGCGGAATGAGATTCGCCGGTTGCCTGTCTGCCACTCAACTGGTTCTGGTTTACCCACATCCACACATTCACTCGCAGCTCAGTCTCAGTCCCAGTTCCTGTCCTCTTGCCTCGGCTTTTCCTCTCACTTGGCTCTGAGTTTTCCAAGCTGTGTGTGTTACCAACAACAACAACAAAAGGAGCATGCCAAGCATTTGGCCAATGCAGTTGCTGATTTGTGATTTACAGGGTAGCAATATTCTTCTGGAAAGTATTACAACTAGAGTTTATAGAAAAGGAATCTAGAGCAAAAAAGTTATACATATATATATTTATATAGGGAATGGGAAAATGTAGATTACGCTTTATGGAGAACGCAATAATATTGTGGTTAATCCACATTTTTCCATTTCCACTCCATTACATTCCGATTGAAAGGTCTTATCACCAGAAAGTTGAAAGACTCTTGGAACAATCAGCCTTAAGCCAATCCCTATATAATTGCTGTTTTATTTGAATCCAGATCTCAGATTCATTTCGACTGTGTAACAAGTTTAACATAATGAAATCGAAAGTATTTGCGGTGATTTTATTGCTGAAGATTCTACAATTAACCGTAGCAGACTCGGTATATATACTCTCAAATGGAACAACAACCATATCCAAAGAGAAAAATTCATCTTTTTTCAATTGGTTGGTTAACATCACCGATCAACTCCATGCCGAAGTACAAACTTTATTCTCCTCTAACATGATTATAGAGGCCCAGGTAGCAAATGAGGAAAGTAAAATCAATAACGACACCTCGGTTATTCTAAGCAAAGATCAACAAATTAAGGATCAACTAAACGAGCTAAAAAAGCGAGATGAACAAGTCAAGGTACAGAATGAACAGCTTCACCTACAGGATGAACAAATCAGGAATAAAAGTCTCGAACTACAAAAAAGTGAAGAAAAACTAACTAATATGACGGAAGTTAATCAGAAATTACAAAATAAATTATTTGTTTGCGAAGGTCAAATTAAAGAAGATAATGAGGTAATCAACAAAAAGGAAGAAAAAATCAAAAAGGCAAATGAACTCCTTAAACAACAAGATGAACAAATGAACAAAAAAAGTGCAGAGTTAAAGGAAAGTGATGAAAAAGTAAATAACATGACGGACATTATTCAAAATATGCAGAATCAATTAGATAAGAATATTCAAACACATAATGAGGAACTCATACACAAATATAATATAATACATGAATTGACCTATGAAATACAGGATAAAAATCACACTATATTGAATATGACAAAAACTATTAACAGTTTAAGAAGTCAATTAGTAAATGCTGAAACTCAAATCAAGGAACAAGATATAGAGATAAACCAAAAACAACAAAATATTATGAAGTTTGGTGAACAGCTCCGGAACGCCTATGAAAAGGATAGACAACAAAGTAAACAGCTTAAAGAACAAAATGAACAGCTAATGAATAAAACTGAACAACTCAAGCAAAAAGATTCGCTTTTGGAGACCAAAAACAATGAAATAAAAACACAAAATGAAAATATCAAGAACAATAAAATTAAGATTACTTCCCTAAATAAGCAAATAGGATCTATCGAGGTAGAACTATCTCAAAAACGAGATCATCTTTTAATTTACTCAGCATTCCAACGGTGTCCCAAAAACCTATCAAATGCTATTTCTACCATAAAATTACCCGGAGTAGAGGCATTTGAAGCTCCCTGCAATTCAACTGGATGGATGACCATCCAAAAGCGTTTTAATTTCTCTGAAAGTTTTAATCGCACTTGGAATTCTTACAAGCAGGGATTCGGAGACATTAGAGGGGAGTTTTTCCTTGGTCTGGAGAAGCTACACCAAATGACCAAGGCCCAGCCCCATGAACTTCTCATACAGTTAAAAGATCCTTATGGAAAAATTGCCTATGCTCACTACAATAAATTTCAAATTGGTAGCGAAAAAGAATCGTATTACCTTAAATCGTTGGGTAACTTTACGGGGAACACCAAAAACGCGCTAAGCTATAACCTTGGCATGAAATTCACCACCTATGATCGGGATAATGATATGCAGGTTAATAATTGCGCCAAGATTCTTCTTGGCGGTTGGTGGTTTAACGAGTGTGGCCAAAGGTATTTCGAATATTTTAAGCAAGCTTCAATGAATATAATATTCAACTTTCTTAATTTTGCAGTTTACCCAATCGCAACTTTAATTTTAGTATAAGTTACGCTCTGGATAGCATTTTCTGGCCAATTTTTGTGGGCGACAAATGGAGAAATTATATGTCTGATATCGATGCTGAAATTATGATTAAACCGAAAAATTATTAAAATAAAATTTAATAATTATTAAATACTAAAACAAGCATTTGCATTCAATATAATTATATCTAAAAAAAAAATTAAGTTTTACAAAAATGTATATAAAAATATTAAAAAGTTTATTAAGAAATGTTAGTAAAAACTTATTTTCTATTATATATTTTGCATTCAATATAATGTTTACTTAAATTAAAAATAATGTCATATCGATTTTTCTAATAAAATTTTTTACTTTGAAGAAAAAACAGAGGCTTATTTTAATTTTATTTATTTATTTTTACACTGTAAACTTAAACTACAGGAAAAGTATTAACCATAGTTGCTGCGGCTTCGTTATATTTAATTATACAGAATTTTAGAAATATAATTTTTAAAATTCTTCTTTACTTAAGATTTCCCTCGTTAACTTCCGTTCATTCTCCCTCTGAATCTCTACAACTCTTACCCCTTTTTTTTTCTAGGGTATCTGCTGATGGCCACATAAATCTCAATTTCAATTGTGCATTCCAAACACTTCTTGTTGTTCTTGGTTCCTCTGCGTTTATTTTTGTTGTTCCCGCCTGTGTTCGGTTTCTGGATTCTCAGTTTTCTCGGTTGGTGTCGGCTCTTTGGTTCGTTTTGTGTTTGCCGGGCTGTGTATGTTGATGTTGTTGTTGTTGTGGCATGGCATGGCCCTCTCCCTGAAAAGCCCTTTTCCCCAGTCCCTCCCCCAGTCCCTTCCCCAGTCCCTCCCCCAGATCACTCTCCCGTTTGACTGGCTTAAAGGACGCTGAAGGTGAACAACTGCAACTGAAACCGGTTTTCCCACCACAACAGCTCCTCTCTCCCCTTTCCCGTTTTCCTCTGTTGGTAACTTTGGGCAGCAGGCAAACAAAATGTTTGCAGTTGCATTCACTGATTAGAACGTGGCAAGTTAAGCAGTTTTCCCCCCTCTGGGTTCCCTCTCGCGACAGCTTACATAAATTCACGTCACTCATACGCCACGTGGGCTCAGTTCACACACACAGATAGAGTGCTGGTGTTGCCTTGTTCTCGCTTTTCCAACTGCAATGGGTTCTTTTGTCGTGCACTACAGATATATTTCTTGGAGATCTATACGATATTGAGACACTGAAAGAAAGAAGGGGTTTGGTGTGGTCTACAAATAGGGAAATGTTTAAAATTTGTAAATTCTTCAGGAGCTTCTTAAAAAAAAATGTAATAAAAGATAGTTTTATAGTTAAAAATGTTTACTATATATTTAATTATATTTTAAAATATTTTAAAATACTTAAAAATATTTTAAATATTTGGTAATATTTTATATTATTTTTTAATATTTTATATTATTTTAAAATAATATAAAATATTTTTAAATATTTGTTAATATTTTATATTATTTTAAAATAATATAAAATATTAACAAATATTTAAAAAAAAATTTTTAATTAGTTTTTATATATTAAAAGTATTTAAAACTATATAAAATAATTTTAAAATATTTAAAAATAGTTTAAAATAAAAAATAAAATATTTAAATATATAAAACATATAAGAAAGTTTAGTTTAATATTTATAATGTCTAATATATATTTTAAAATATTTTAAGCTAAAGAATATATAATCTTAAAATATTTATGAAACATTTTAAGCAAGAAACTATTCTTTGTTATAATTTTTAAGAAAAAACGGGATCCCATATGACGTTTATCCGCATTCAAAGGCTTCTGAATATTCAAAAACCTAACATTTCTTTGAAAAGCAAGCATTTTGCATATTTTTCTCTTGATATTTTCTCGCTGGCCCATCCTTTTGCTATATCAATTTTCCCTTTTGGTTCAATCAATTTATGACCTGCTACGCGCTCGACTGCCGCCATTTGGTGCATTACTCACGTACTTTTATTGGCCCCCTAACGATGGACACGCCTCCCACGCCGAAGGGCCGCCCATCGCTTAAGCCATTTAACCCGTTTTTAACCCTTTTGTGCATTTGCGAGGAAGAGAGTTTTTAATTTTCTCAACGCCTGCCAGGATCTCCATGGTTGCATGTCGTCCTGCCTTTCTGTATTTCTTTTTGCTGCAGTTTTTTTCCCCCATTGTTGATTGGATTGTGTGTGTGCGTTGGTCAGGGAAAATTCTCTGCCAGCATTTACCTGGAAAAGTGAGGGAAAATAAGAAATATTTACACCTTTTAATGCACCTTTCATCTTCTGTTCTGCTGCTGCTGCTTAATTAAGTTCTTGCCACAAACGAAATGCCTTTCGCAATTAAATACAAGGCTTTCTCAATGATTTTGCATTGATGACATCACATCGGAGTTTGCTTTGTAATTAACCTGAAGTAACTTAATTAAATCTCAGCCAGACTTAATCAACCTGAAACTCAATAACATTGAAAACTATGCGAACTCCTGCTGTTCCAAAAATTCATTAGCAGCCTTGTTTGTTTGTGTTTGGGGTTTTGTTCTCGAATTTCCATTAATCAAAATCAAACGACACACACGAGAGAGAGGAAGAGATATTCCAAGAAATGGCTTAAATGTGCTGCCAATTAAAACTAGCAAAGCGGAAGTCAGGCAGATAGCAGGCTAATAAATTTCATAACTCGAAAAATACATATAATTTATGGAAAAGCCAAGAAGCTAAAGAAATAAATAAATAAATAACCAACTGCAGTTTTTAGCTTCCAAGTTGTTTATGAACAAAAAAGATTTGCGAGCCACAAAAGTTGCAACTTAAATCGAAAAGTAAACAGAATGCAAAATGGAAAATGGAAAATGTTTGAAGGGAAAACCAGTGTGGGAGCTTGGGGGAGAGATAGCCAGAAAGGAAGTTCATTTCCTTGCAAGGACTCATCGACTCAACTCCAGCCAAAACTCTTTTGTCTAATTATGCAAATTTTAAACTTTACACTGGTCCACAAGAAACCCCGAAAAACAAAGTTGACCATCAAATTAGTTTGGGAAAATTCTGTTTGCAGATCTTTTGCAGGCAATTAAATTATATTTTATATATAGAGAGAGAAAATTGCAACTAAAAAATCCTCTATTAAACTTTGTCAAATTAGCTTGTGCAAAATTTTGTTTGCCTGCATAATTAAATTGTTCCAAAAATTTGTTTTCAGATTTTCTCACCAAAAAAGCTACAGCAGAAACAGCATCAAGGGGTTTAATTAGTTTTCAGCAATTTATGGAAATTTATGTAAAGGCTGTAATACAAATTATCTGTGTGGGTAAAATATTAAATTAACCTTTAAAATATATTATCAAAATTGAAAACTATTTCCCTTTAAATTAAATATTTCCATATTTATACAGCCTCATAGAAAGGCAAATTAGCACTCGAAAAACACTTGAGACATTCATCAAGTGTCGCCCTCTTACTATTTTCCTATTTTCCCTTTTTTTTCACATATTTAATTCCACTCGAGAGTTGTGCCCTCAAATTAGTTTTGTGCAAATGAAAACTATCTGTTGGATTGCGGGCAATTAAAGCACTTGAGACATTCTGATTTCCGTTCTTGCATTTTATTCCCATTCAATTCGATGTGCAAACACACACAAGAGGACCTCATGTGTGTGTGGTTCTTCCTATTTTCAACTGTGGCCCCTCCAAAATCATCACCATCTGCCACATTCTCCCCCTGCACTGGCCTCCATTAAATGCTTGTGCGTGCTGTTTGTTTGCTTTAATTCTGTTCCGTTTCGTTCCAAATTGTTTTGTTTTCTTTTTTGGGCATAGCTGTAAATTGGTTCTCACTCTTGGTGATGAAGAAAAAAGTGTCACGACTAAAGGATACCATAGAAAGGGGAAAATAATGATCAATTTATCGATATTTAAACGAAATCAACGACATTTTAGCGAGTTTTATTTATTTACAAGTGTCTTAATTTATTTTAACATTTTTCTAATGAAAGTAAACAATGGTTCAATTGTGTTCAACTAAGTTCAATTAGAGATGAAAAAATATCGATAAATCGATCTATTTCGATATTTAAATAGATAAATTTTAAAATATCCAAGGAACGAAATTTGTAGAATGCTTCCCATATTTTGCTTTATCAATTTTTAAAATTCGTCATGTTTTTAATTTCTTAAAAAATATAAAAATAGTAATAAATTGATATACCGATATTTAAATTGATATTTTAAAATATATCAATGGAATGAAATGTGTGTACTGGTTCTTTTCTTAGCTTTTTCAATTATTAAAATTACTCGAATTTTTATTTTCATTCGAAATGTTAAAATATTTATAAACCCTTTTTATCGATAGTTAAATCGATAATTTTAAAGATATCAAAGCAATGATATGCGTTTAATCTTACCTTTTTCAATTTTAAAATTATTTACAATTTCCTGCAAATGAGAAAATTTTCCTAAAACCAATATACCCCATTCAGTCTACGCTTACGGGGCATAAAAGGCCAAGTTGATGACTCAAAATGTTTATAGACCTTTTTAGTGGAATCGAGAACGCTTTGCATTTTATGCGACTTTTTTCATTTGTTTTTCTTTTCGCGTTCTTTTTTTTCTTTTTGCTTCTTTTTTCATTGCAATAAAGTGCAGGGCAGAATTGAATGAAAGTGAGACCGGAAGTTAGTGCTTCGCTCATTGTTGATTGCGGGAATACGAGTGTATATGCCATATGGAATGGGATTTTGGGGGGCTTTGAAAGAGCGGAACAGGGCCAGTTCATGGTCGATTGGTTTATTCGAGAGGGAAATGTTAGACTGAAGAAGGAACCGCCGGGCAGGAAATCAATGTGCAGAGTATTCCGAATGTTATGACATTATAAAGCGAGGGGGAATTTTTAATTATCCTTACGATTGAGTTGCTTCGGTTTAATGATCTTGAAGGGGGTCTAGACTTTATTTGTTTGGGTTAAAGTGTGAAGTTTTTCAGTGGGAAAAGGGGATATTGTCTAAAAAAAAAATATTATAATAACAGCAGGAAAAAATACTATATATTCTTTAGAAACTTGTATAATTCCTAATAGCTTCATTACTTTTAATTAACTTTATGTAATTCCCCATTTTAAATACACACAAATATATTTTCAATCAGCCTTTTAATTATTTGTATTTTTTAATCCAATCGGTTTGCCTTTAATTGGTTTATATATGTATATATATTTCCCACACACATTTAAATCCGATTTAATGCCCCGCCGCCATCCGTTCTCCCTTTTCTCTGTACAGGAAATTGTCAATTTCCTTCCTCATCTCTGGGAAAATCCGTAACTAAACCACAACAAACACACAAGCAAACAATATTTAGCATATTTATTTGGCTGACATAAACATGAATTATTATTGCGGTTTTATGGGGAAGAGCCACTTTTTGGGGAGGTCAACTTTGTCCACAACTTTTTGGTCCTTAATCCATCTCATTAGCAAATATGTATATTTTATATGTATATATACATATATTTGAGGGGGGAAAAGACCCAGCAGAACGTGTGGGAAAATTGCAGCTCAGCTTCGTCCTCCCTCTGGGTTTTTGGCCAAATCCTGTGGAAAAGTGTGGAGGATTACGTGGGAGGTAATTGCATTTAGTTTTACCAGAGAGCTCCCTCAGCCTCCTAACATCCTCTCTTTCTGGCTGTGCCCCAATTTCTCACTTATTTGTAGTTATTTAAGTTTATTGATTTTATGGACACACAAAAAGTACACGGGGAGAAAAAGAAAATATTTAAAATAGCTATTTTTAATTTTAAATATTTATTTAAAAGCTTAATTTAAGCTTGCTTTGCTTTTTGTGTGTGTTTTTGGCATACAGTCAGTTATTTTTTCAAAGAGAAGCTTCTAAGAGGCAGTGAATCTGAAATTTAAATACGAATTCAAATGGAGACCCTTTCCTCTGACAATTCCGTGGAACTTCCCGCTCAAATCGAAGTTAATTCTCCGTCTCAACAAACGCCTGAAGAACCTATCGAATCAGGAATAGAAGCGGTCCCAGAAGGAGCTGGCAAGGCACAGCACTCCCTGCTCACCCTCGAGTACTACCAGCAGTTTTTCAAGGTGGACACTTTTATGGTCCTTCGAAGGATCCGCAACTCGATGATACCCAAGCTAGCTTCAGGGAATTATCTGCGCATGGACATAGACCAGAATCCAGATCTATATGGGCCCTTCTGGTTAAGCATTACCCTGATCTTCTCTATAGCCATAAGCAGCAATATAGCCAGTTACAGGCATTATGCCGGCAATGACTACCATTGGCACTATAACTTCCAACTGGTCTCCAATGCAGCCACCTGTGTCTTTATCTATGCCATAGTCTTGCCTGTTGTGCTTTGGGCTCTGTTTAAAGACAGTCTGAAGCCAGTGCTTTATGAGGAGTTGGATAGTGCCAGCTATACGCCGACTCTTCTGTCGCTAATATGCATTTATGGCTATAGTTTGGCTATATATATACCCGTTTCTATACTCTGCGTGATTGAGATAGCCTTGATTCAGTGGCTCCTGGTGATCATAGCGGCTTTGCTAACGGGATTTGTATTGATTGATGTTATGAAGCCGGCTTTAAGGAACTCGAAGTATGCGATTTTTCTTATTATAGGTATACTGAGTGTTCAATTTATACTATCTGCTGGATTTTTGATGTATTTTTACCAGGATTCCTTGGTGACAGGTACCAGATTCCTTCAACAGGTACCATGTTATCAGTCGCCTTTAAAGACCTCACCAAGGCAGTCTCTGGGAATCAAAGATTGGTAATGACCTAAAGATTTTTATGATATTATTAAATATATATAATCTCAACCTTTTTTCCCCTCGGTGTACCCATAAAATAAAAGAAGCAGAAGCATGTGGATTTGGGGCAAACATTTTGCAAATGTTTTCATTAGCCAAACTTTGATTACATGCTAAGCTTCAGTTAGTCCCTCGTCCCTTCTCCTGCATAAACTTTTGGCCGCATTTATTATTTAAATGATTTTATGTGCTCCACACACAAACTCGCACACACTTTTGGGGACGGGGTGCAGGATTGATGGTTAGTCACTTCAAAAGTCAATTAAGTTGGCCAGTCCAGAACCCAAAAATATATACACACACTCACGCCCCTCTATACCCTATTGATTGGCCCGGCATCCTTTATGGAAGGAAGAAGGAGGAGCCCTTAATCCGTTTCGATTTCAAATAAAATTCATTCGGAATGCTAAAAGTTTTTTTCTCAGGGTTAGAGTGTATAGAGAAGAAGGGGGAAACGGCACGTCGTTTTCCATTAAATTTACCTACGCAAAGTAAGAAATAAAATGTCAACTAAAACAACATGGGGAAAAGAAGATTTACTTTTTGTTGAGTTGCGCCAGATGAAAACGGTGTGTGTGTGTTTTTTGTGTGTGGGGAAAAGCGAGAAAAGCTGCAAGAGAACACGCAGGGAAACTGGGAGAAAAGGGAAATAGCGTTATGATTTCATTCAGTAAAATCATAGCATTTAAAAACATTACAAAATGTTTAAAAAGTACAGGAAAACTGGAAGAAAAGGTATGCACCTTTAAATATATAAAAAATATTTTATTAAATACATTTTTATCAGTGTCCCCCAACTTGTTCTCCCTTCCAGTTCAGAGCCTACAATATATACGAATAAAAACCAGAAGAAACTGGTAGTTGGCAGCGTGAATCGTCTAACGTTAACACGGCGTATGCGTAACTTTTATAAGGACACCCTCAAACTCAAACCCCAATCCCCTCCACCCAGAGTCCAAAAGTCCAGAGAGACCCTCACGTGCCAGTGCAACACTGGAGATAAAAAGCAAAAGTTAAAACCATTTCACACGCAATTTTTAGCCTACTGTTGTTTGCTCAGCCTGTGACTGTGACTGTTGCTGTTGCCTTTTTGGTCACCCGGGGGAAAAGTCAGGTAGCGCGGTATTCATGAGGAAAACAAGGAGCAGGAAAAGCTCTGGAACTCCTCCGAGTGCGTGTCTCGGCAGCCTAAACAAATGCAACACTTTTGGGCCCAAAACAAGGCTCCTCCTCCGCCCTCTCTCTTTTGGCTACAAAATTTATATGTATATTTCCACGCATGGCGCAGGCAGTCAGGCCGCAAAAGTTTTTCCAGGTGCGGTTTTTGCGGTACGGTTTTTCAGGCCTCAGGGCGATCCAAATGCAAATTAGCCAGGGTTCGGGTAATTGAAATGGACGGAGAGGACAGACGCGCGAGGTGGGTCCTGCAAAAAGTCAGGTCGGTGGAAATGATTGATATTTTTTTGCTAGAAAATAACTGATAAGGGTTACACGAGAGAGTAAAGGGTGTGGAAAATGGTTCTAAGGGTTTGACAAGTTTACTTGACTTTTGATGTGTTGTGGGGGTGAAAAAAAGAGTGGCAAGATAACAAATGTACAGCAATCTAAAATCTATCCCCCAAGAGTTAACTAGCTAATCAATTTTAAAAAGGTTTTAGATTTAAATTTCCTTTGTTTTTATAAATTATTTAAATTTACATAAAATAATTAGGCATTTTCCTAAAATAAAAATACCTCTTAAAGAAATTTCTTCCCTAACTTCTCTTATTTAAGACCATCTTGACGAACCCACTTAGGAAATCACCCAGATCAACCTTAACCTATCCCTAAGTAAGACGAGTGGGTGTAATACCTTTTACTTTATCTTTTCCTTCTCTTTTTTCCCCCCAAATTCCATTAAACAGTTGTTACCTTTTTTTATTGCCAACAAAGGTTTGCAATCAAATGGAGAAGAACTCAAAGATACCGAGATACCAAAAAACCTAATCAAATTTTTGTTTGGTCTCTGGCATTTCGGTGTTTTTGCTCTGCAAATTTGCTCACTGGGGAATTCTCAGAGACAAAAAAAATAAAGGGGGAGAAAAGATGCCAGAGAGAGCCGAGGCTGGCTTCGATATTTCCCAGGCTTTTAATAACTGAACAAGCCGCTCATTAATAATTTAAAATAGAGCACCAAAATATGCGATTGCCCCAATGGCCCCGGCCTTTGGGACCCCTTTCTTCGCACTCTCTCTCTCTCCTGGTCGTACTCTCTCTTTTGAAGTTTTGTGCTCTTTGGTGAGAGTGGTGAAAAACATGTGGAAGCCAAGTGACAGAGAGATGTATTTTTGGTTTGAAATTTTCTCTCATTTGTTTGTTGTTGCGTGGCCACATTCCTTCATTGGATACCCGTTTGTGTTGCTTCTCTTTTTGTGTTTGTGGATGCCTTTGCACTTGTCCTCTCTCTCTTGGGGTATCTTTCATTCTCTCTCAGTATTTCTGGCTGTATTTCCCCATTGTGCTCTCTTTCAGTGTATCGATGATTCATGCTTTTTGGTGCTTCGGTTGCTGCACAAAAAACAATGGTCTGCTGTTGCTGTTTCTTAAATAATATATATATGTATATATTGTTGCCAGCACTTCCTTGTCTCAATAAGCAGTGTCAGCATTTCTTCTCTTTCTTCTCTTTTCTGGGCTTCTCTTATTTTCTTTTGTTTTCTTTTTTTATTTGTTTACTTTAGTTTTTGTTGTGCTTGGTTTTAGGCTGCTAAATGAGTTCTTTTTTGGATTTAACAAAAATGTTTAAACATAAAACTAGAAAGTTTTGTTAAATTTAAAATATTTAGGTTTTTCTTAAATTTATTTATTGACCATAGAAATTATGTAGACCCTAAAACAGCTCACATTAATCAACAACTAAGCCATTTTAATTATATTTTTATTTAAAAAAACCATAATTCTTATTATGATATATTTTTCTTTTATTTTTTTATTTAAAAAACCATAATTCTTATTATGATATATTTTTCTTTCTTTTTCGTTTTTATAACAGCTGTTCTTTTCTTTCTGTGTATTTGTTTGTGACGTAAGCCGAGCGAAGCGTATTAAACCGGAACGCAAAGCTCGTCTTCAGCTGTTCAAACTTTGCCGGCTGCGCTTCATCTTGTTTTTCTTTTGTGCCTTTTTTTTTGCTTGAATGAAATTTCATAGTAGTGGAAATTGATGTGGAAAACTCACCACGACGTCGCAGCAGGCGTCGCTGCTGTTGCTGCAATTTCCTACTGCAAAGTTGCCAAGAAATTGTGTTGCTACTGCTGTGTTGCCAAAGCAATGTTGCTAGTGCAGCAGCTGTTGCAAGTTGCAACGTCTTTTAAAAATATTTAAAAATATTTAAAAATATTTAACAAATTTTAAGGCATTTAACTAGATAATTTAATTAATTTTTATCAAAATTTTTAACTGCTTTTGCATATTTTACAATATAAAACTCACTTTCGTAGCGGTTGCAAGCAGGTTCGAAACGTTGTTCAAACCTTCCAGCTTCGAACATCAAACAAGTTTGTTTAAATGATTTTAACAAATTTCAACTTTGATAGGTTAAAAAGTAATCACCAAAAGAACCTAGCTTCTTGTTCAAATATTTATTTTATAGTTTAAACAATTGACTAATGTACCCCATTTAATTTAATCAAATATCTCACTTAATTTCAAAGTTATTAATTTTTTAAGAAAACCACTCACATGGGTCCCACTGTGCTTGTCGTGTGTTAAGCCTGAAAAATCTTTAAAAATACCAACTAACGACGAACAGTTCCAATTTTGCGTTCGGACCGTTCGGATGTGTTCTCTCTCTCTATCTCTGTACAGCCCTCTCTTTCGCGCCCCATATATCGCTCTCTGTCTGTAGAGTGACTCTAAAACTGGCATAACTCGTGTACGTCACTTGTGCGGTCTAAATTTTTGTCGCAGCCTCATAAATCAAAGCTTAAATAGCAAACAACAACCAGAAACAGGAACAACAATAACGGTGGATAATAAATATAATAATCATATTTAATACATTTGTATATTTTTTGCCAGACCCGTTATTGTTGTTCCTGCTTATTTATTTATTTGCCTTGTGTGTGTGTGTGTGTTTTGTGTTTGTTTATTTGAATTGTTTGCTATTTGAGCAGCCGCCGTTCCCCGAAGTGCGCACCCCAAGCAACTGGGGTCTCTAGTTTCAATTAGAAGTCCAAGTTTTGGAACCCCTTCTGGCCTGTTGGATGCCCCTTTTCCCCCTCCCTATATAACCCCTTCTCGGCACCCCCGCAATTTTATTTGAATTCCGCTTATTTGGCGAGGCTTTGCACGGGTTGAAGTGCGTTTTAGCGGCGAAAAGGAAGCCGAAACTGAAGGTTATGACTGTTTATTATTATTGCTATCTTCGGGTGCTTTTTTGTGTTCTTTTCTTTATTTTTTGGCAATTACCAGCTCCACAGTTTAACATGTTTCAATTCATAATAAAATTAAATACAGTGGTCAGTGTAGAAATTTAATTTTAAAAATATATTAATTCTTTTGATAATGTGAAGCAATATTTTTAATGTTGCAGGCACGAAAAGCTGCTTAATTAGCACAGTAATTAAAAATGCGTTAATTAAATAAACATTTATGGCTAAATAAATATTTCCTTCAGGAAGAGAAACCTTGTTTTTAGATTGTTTATAAATTTTTTATAAATTTGATATTTAATCACAATTTTCAACAATAATTTTAAGGCTTTATTTGTCATTAAAAACAGCAAGCAAAAAAATTTCTTTTTCAGGTTTTGAATTTAAGATCCCAGCATTTCCTTTAGAGAATTAAATAATAATATTTTAAAGATGCAGATTAAATTTTAAATATTTTAAATATTATTTTAAATATTTTAAATATTATTTTACTATTGAAATAATTCAAAGAAACAAAGATATTAAGACTAAAAAAAATTGCAAAGCATAAAAAAAATAGGAAAGAGCTTAAAAAACCTAAAATTCAGTCTTACTTTTCAGTAAATTATTCAATAAAACACTTGAAATTCCAAATATTTCTCTTAATATTAATTTTCAAATAAATACAAATTAAAAACTTCCTAAAAACTCTCCCAATTATCACTCAACTTGACCACTGTACTTGCATAAATATGTATCAT